TCCGATTTGATGCTTCTTATTAACTTCACATCGTCCGCAAACAAGGACACTTCTGAGTCTATCCCTTCCGTTATGTCATTCACATATACCAAGAACCGCACAGGTCCTAAGACTGACCCCTGTGGAACCCCGCTTGTCACAGGCGCCCACTGACACCTCGTCACGTACCATGACTCGTTGTTGCCTCCCTGTCAGGTATTCTCTGATCCATTGCAGTGCCTTTCCTGTTATGTGTGCCTGATCCTCTAGCTTTTGCAGTAACCTCTTGTGAGGAACTGTGTCGAAGGCCTTCTTGTAGTCCAAAAAAAATGCAGTCGATCCACCCCTCTCTCTCTTGTCTTACTTCTGTCACCTTGTCATAAAACTCTAGTAGGTTTGTGACACAGGATTTTCCCTCCCTGAAACCATGCTGGTTGTCAGTTATACACTTGTTTCTTTCCAGGTGCTCCACCACTCTCCTCCTGATGATCTTCTCCATGACCTTGCGTACTATACACGTTAGTGATACAGGTCTGTAGTTTAGTGCCTCATGTCTGTCTCCCTTTTTAAAAATTGGTACTACATTTGCCATCTTCCATACCTCAGGGAGTTGCCAAGTTTCCAATGATGTGTTGAAGATCTTTGTTAACGGTGTGTGTGTGTGTGTGTACTCACCTAGTTGTACTCACCTAGTTGAGGTTGCGGGGGTCGAGTCCGAGCTCCTGGCCCTGCCTCTTCACTGATCGCTACTAGGTCACTCTCCCTGAGCTGTGAGCTTTATCATACCTCTGCTTAAAGCTATGTATGGATCCTGCCTCCACTACATCGCTTCCCAAACTATTCCACTTACTGACTACTCTGTGGCTGAAGAAATACTTCCTAACATCCCTGTGATTCATCTGTGTCTTCAGCTTCCAACTGTGTCCCCTTGTTACTGTGTCCAATCTCTGGAACATCCTGTCTTTGTCCACCTTGTCAATTCCTCTCAGTATTTTGTATGTCGTTATCATGTCCCCCCTATCTCTCCTATCCTCCAGTGTCGTCAGGTTGATTTCCCTTAACCTCTCCTCGTAGGACATACCTCTTAGCTCTGGGACTAGTCTTGTTGCAAGCCTTTGCACTTTCTCTAGTTTTCTTCACGTGCTTGGCTAGGTGTGGGTTCCAAAACTGGTGCCGCATACTCCAATATGGGCCTAACGTACACGGTATACAGTGTCCTGAATGATTCCTTATTAAGATGTCGGAATGCTGTTCTGAGGTTTGCTAGGCGCCCATATGCTGCAGCACTTATTTGGTTGATGTGCGCTTCAGGAGATGTGCCTGGTGTTATACTCACCCCAAGATCTTTTTCCTTGAGTGATGTTTGTAGTCTCTGACCCCCTAGACTGTACTCCGTCTGCGGTCTTCTTTACCCTTCCCCAATCTTCATGACTTTGCACTGGTGGGATTGAACTCCAGGAGCCAATTGCTGGACCAGGTCTGCAGCCTGTCCAGATCCCTTTGTAGTTCTGCCTGTGTGTGTGTGTGTGTGTGTGTGTATGTGTATGTGTGTGTGTGTGTGTGTGTGTGTGTGTGTGTGTGTGTGTGTATGTGTGTGTGTGTGTGTGTGTGTGTGGTGTGTATGTGTATGTGTATGTGTGTGTGTGTGTGGTGTGTATGTGTATGTGTATGTGTGTGTGTGTGTGTATGTGTGTGTGTGTGTGTGTGTGTGTGTGTGTGTGAGTTTAGAGATTCTTATCTATGTTGAAGGTTATAGGATTCTCATTCATCCGGATGCTCTCTTAACCGGACACTCAACCGGACACACACTCAACCTGACACTTTGTCAACTTCACACTCAACCGGACACTCTTTAAACCCTTTTTATCCACCCATATCTACCTTTTATCTACCCATATCTACCTTTTATCTACCCATATCTACATTTTTCTATTTTTTATCTACATCGCGGGTTGGTGACGGTGTTTGGAAGTTCTTATCAGTGATGTATTTACTTCGTGGACTTATTTGCATATATTTGCATATATTTGTGAAATATACTACACAGTCCCTCTCTTCCTTGCTGCCTTTCTTAATTCCTTCCTTCCCACTCTCCTTCTCTTCATCCTTCCCTCTCTCCCTCCCTTCTTTCCTTCATTTCCCAGGCATTTTCCCTACATGCTTTTCCTCTCTTCCTATCTTTATTTTCACCTTTTTTCTTCATTCTTTCATTTCTCCATTCTCTCTCTACTTCATTCCTTCTTTAGACCCAAGGACAGAAGTCTTTAAGCATAATTATATATATATATATATATATATATATATATATGAAACGGAAGTGTGGACGAGGGGTCTCGAACCGCTGTTCTTAAATTGACAGTCTGACGTTTTACCGTCTAGGCTAGGGATTCGAAGGTAATAGTGTTTTACAGTCCTTCAGAGGCACCAAATGTAACCCAGCTGAACTCCTTCCCTCGGCCCAGGAGCTATAAGTGTATCGATATCGGCGTTAGTGAGAGAACTGGTGAACAGGTGACATCAAGTAACGTAATTAATGTTACTACTGCGGGTATTAGAGGCTTATGGAGTGCATGATATAGGAAGGAATTATATCACTTAGATTGTTGGATAGACGACACCTTGTTTGTGTGTTTTGAAGTCCTCACATCCTGGCCCGTAGCTCAATTGGTAGCGCACTCAGCTCATACACTGAAGTCCGTGGTTCGATCCCTTGTAAGGGTAGAAACATTAGGCTGTACTTAAGACAACTGCTGTCCATGTTCATCTAGCAGAAAAATAGGTACCTGGATGTTAGTCTACTGGTGTGGGTCGCATCCTGGGGGTACAATTGACCTAATTTGCCCGAAATGCTCAGGATAACAAGAGGCTTTCTATATAGTAGTATGTCACTGATGTCAGCTAGGACTGTATACCTTGTACATGTACTTGTAGAAACATAGATTATCGTCGTCTTGAAAACAGCCTACGATATCTACTGTCTGCTTCTTGTTCTGTGTCCTTTTGGAGTGACCGAGAGTCAAGGACCGAACCATATTCAGTAAAGATATCTTTACTGTATGCACGTGTGTCATTCCATCTTTACTGCCGGTAAAGAAGGAAAAAAATGGGTAGAAGTTAATATAACTTCTACCCCTTTTTTTCCCCTTCTTTATTTCTTCACTTTATCACTTCTATCCTCTAGTCTATCCCTCCCACCCGTTATTCCTATATTCTTTACTTCTTCACTCTTTAATTCCCTCTTTCCTGTCTCCTCCTTCATTCCTTCCCTCACTTCCCTCTCCTCAAACCTACTTTCCGTGAAATGACAATGAAGACGAAAATATTTCTTTAGTTACTTTATTTATGCCTTTTAAAAATTACCTTCTCTGTTTTATTTCATTATTTTTTTGTTTCGTTTGTTTTCCTGTATGTGGTGTTAAGAGTGACTGTTGTTGTTATGTGCATCTAAATTCTCTCTCTCTCTCTCTCTCTCTCTCTCTCTCTCTCTCTCTCTCTCTCTCTCTCTCTAAACTGTCATGAACTGCTACTTTAATCTTTAATATAGCAACATAAACAAAACGAGTAGCAACAGAAACAGCAGCAGTTGCGACAGCAGAGATAGCAACAGCAGCAGTAGCGACAGCAGAGCAACAGCAGCAGTTGCAACAGAGATAGCAACAGCAGCAGTAGCGACAGCAGAGATAGCAACAGCAGCAGTAGCGACAGCAGATATAGCAACAGCAGAGGCAGCAACAGCAGAGGTGGCGATAGCAGAGGTAGCAACAACAGAGGTAGCAACAACAGAGATAGCAACAACAGAGATAGCAACAACAGAGATAGCAACAACAGAGATAGCAACAACAGAGATAGCAACAACAGAGGTAGCAACAACAAAGGTAGCAACAACAGAGGTAGCAAAAGCAGAGGCAATTACAGCACCAGAAGCAACAGCAGAGGCAACAACAGCAGCAGTAGCGACAGCAGATATAGCAACAGCGGAGGCAACAACAGCATCAGTAGCAACAGCAGAGGCAGCAACAGCAGAGGTGGCAACAGCAGAGGTGGCAGCAGCAGAGGTAGCAACAACAGAGGTAGCAACAACAGAGGTAGCAACAACAGAGGTAGCAACAACAGAGGTAGCAACAACAGAGGTAGCAACAGCAGAGGTAGCAACAGCAGAGGTAGCAACAGCAGAGGTAGCAGCAGTAGCAGCAGCAGTAGCAGCAACAGTAGCAGAAGCAGCAATAACTTCAGCAACAACACTAGCAATAACAGCGGCAACAACAGCACAATAGCAAGGGCACCATTAACAATAGCACCAGTAGATGAACAGTAACAGCAGTTATCAAGAGAGGCAACAGAAACATACGAGGCTAACAGATGCAGCATCAGCGGTGCAGCACTCGCAGCAGCAGCTAACTCAAATATTTGTAAAATAATCAACATTCACAGAAACAGCGCGGCAGTACAGAACAGCATCAGTAACAGCACCACCGCTCATGACAGACGCCAGCACCAATAACAGCAAATAGCAATAACGTATCAGTACTCGCAACAGATGGTTGCAACGCTAACAGCATCCGCAGACGCATGCAGAAATACCAGCATTAGCCCTCCACAGCAGACACCAGCAGCAATACTACAATAACAGCATCAGCAGAAGCAACATTGAGAGAAATATCAGCAGACAACGGCAACAATAACAACAGCTCTCCCTAACAGCATTCACCATTACCTGTAACAGCACAGACATGAAACACCAGTATCAACAGAAACGGTAGTAACTCTACTAGTGCTAACCACATCAGACAGCAGCAGACAACAGGCAGCTCTACTACTAACCACAGCAGACAGCAGACATCAGGCACCCACCACACACACACATACTACCCTGCAGCAGGCAGCTATCGGCCATGGGGGCGGCGATGACTGGGTGGCGGGCGGGATGGGTGGTGGGCGGGATGGGTGGCCGGGGGAGGGGGTGCTCTCTGCGCCGCCCTCCTCCCTGGGGCGGCACGGAGCCAGTGACGCCGTGGCTGCCTGGTCGTCAGCACGTCGTGCCTGACGTCCGTCCCAGGAGTCGTTCCGACGGTCGTTCGCGCTGCCTATCCCTCCTTCCCAAGGGCTCGTCCGGGACAGGCAGCCTTAAATCAGTGTTGTCGCAGCTGGTGCAACAGTTTTCACAGATGGCAACGTCCCTCTGAAACTGTCAACATCTCTGCACAGCTGTCAACGTCCCTGCACAGCTGTCGACATTCCTACAAAGCTGTCGACATCCCTGCACACCTTGCGAAGTCCCTGCACAGCTTGCGACGTTCCTGCGTAGCTGTCAACGTCCCTGCAAGCTGTTGACGTCCCTGCACATCTGTTTACATCCTTGCACAGCTGTTGACGTCCCTGCACAGCTGTTGACGTCCCTGCACAGCTGTTGACGTCCCTGCACAGGTGTCGACACCCCTGCACAGCTGACGACGTCCCTGCACAACTGTCGACGTCCCTGAGCAGCCGACTACGTCCCTACACAGCTGTTGACGTCTCTGCACACCTGTCGACATCCTCTCCACAACTCAATAAGTCTCTTAGACACTCAAGTCACACATCAACGTTGATAACAACGCATCAAAATATTCTGAAAGGCTCTAAATACCTTTAGGTTCGTCCACCACCTCGCGATTACTGGAACAGTGAATGAAACACAAGTCAAAAGCCGCTCTCCAGGACCTCAGGAATTGCCTTGAGCATCCTCAACCTGTTGGATTCATCCGGCTCTTTTCCCCTCGACCGGATCCTGGAGTCTGTTCATCTCTCGCTCATCCGGTCCCCCCATTCCCCTGGATCTGGTCTCAGAAGTCTGCTGGTCCAACTCTCATTTTGCGCTAGACCGGAGAGTTAGTGTCTGCTACTTTCTCGCTCGTTCGGTCCTTCCTGTCTGCTGGTTTCGTGATCATTCCAGCAGACCGTCAACAATGAAGGAACTGGAGTGTGTGTAAGGGTGAAGCCAAGACCCATATAAAAGGGAACCTATAGTTAAATCTAACAAGTCTTGTGTTATTAGCAAGTGCTGTATCCGCTTCTCTAGAAAACACACCAGACACACACACACGCGGGTGCACACATACACACGAACCTACGCGATAGCATACGCACGGGAGGACGCACGCGCAAGCATACATGATGCGTGCAGACGTATGGGTGTCCACATACCCCTATGCAAATCAACATAATCGCGTGTCTCTGCAAGTATAGAGATGAATACGAATCACCTGTCGATCTCACTGTAAATATTCCAACTTGATTCGGCCCTCAAGAGATCTTCCGAGGGCTCCAAATTTGACAGGAAATCCATACAGTGTGTCGTGGTGAATCACGTATCTATTACATACTCAAAGCTTTCTGTTGGAAAGCACGAGAGAGGGCTCACATCCCATTCTGGTTGCCTGGTGCGTGTGTGTGTGTGTGTGTGTGTGTGTGTGTGTGTGTGTGTGTGTGTGTGTGAGTGTGAGTGAGTGTGAGGAACACCCACAAGGGGACAACACAAAGAAAGTGTGTGTATGTGTGCTTGTGTGTGCGTGTGTATGCGCGGGTGGCTGCGTGTGTTAGTGCCTGGCACCAGTGGCAATACCTGACTCAACAAGTGGCACCTTACTGTGGTGTGCCACACTACGCGCCGCGCCTCAGTTGCTATACTAGCCGCCCGCCATAACACGCCACTAGACAGCCTCCTTTGTGTCACAACATTTCGCACCCTTGGGAGACGAAACGTCGTCTTGTGCTGTGTTTCCTGCCGAGTAACACCATTTGTGTCAGTGTTTTGGATTGTGTTTTAATACGCTAAACACAGTTCAACACCCCGACTCCTCCCATCCTGTGTTGACATACCACCGGGGCGTCGAGGAACCTTCCCTAGGGGTTGATGAAGCACCCCTGAGGTGCTACTGGGGTAGTGAAGTGCCCCCTACTCCCCTTCATCTCCTCCCCCTTCGCCCCAACCATCATGACGTCGGAGAAAGACGCTTTTCAACAGGTTGAGGTAAAGCCCGTGAGGTCGTCCGCACACCACGGAGGAGCAGCTTCCAGCCTGGCATCGGAGCTGGCACGATGTCTGACGGTAACACCTCCCCGTCCCCTCTCCCTCTCTCCCCCTCTCTCTCTGTCTCTCTTCCCCTCACCCGTCTGGCTGTCGTGCCCTCGTTGTACTGCTGCCATGGTGATGAAGCTACGCTGTGTTATACCCCTCTACACCACCCCACGCCCTCACTGCTGTCGCTACACGCTGCCCACCTTAACTGACCGCACGCCCACCCTCTTTGAAGAGGGTGGGCAGCTTGCAGGCCGAACGCCCGCCCGCCCGCCTGAGGACGCTGCAGTAACGTCCAGTAGTTCAGTTTTCATTCAGCTGGTAAAGCTAGTACCATATAAACAACGTTACACTGGCACCCACAGTGTCATCAGGTCAAACTAGAACATAATATCAATGACAAGTTCAAACTAGCACCTACAATGTCATTAGCAAGTTCAAACTAGCACGTACAATGTCATTAGCAAGTTCAAACTAGCACCTACAATGTCATTAGCAAGTTCAAACTAGCACCTACATGTCATTAGCAAGTTCAAACTAGCCCCACATGTCATTAGGAAGTTTAAACTAGCACCCACAATGTTATTAGCAAGTTCAAACTAGCACCCACAAATGTCATTAGCAAGTTCAAACTAGCACCCACAAATGTCATTAGTAAGTTCAAGCTAGCACCTACAATGTCATTAGCAAGTTTAAACTAGCACCTACAATGTCATTAGCAAGTTCAAACTAGCACCCACAATGTCATTAGCAAGTTCAAACTAGCACCCACAATGTCATTAGCAAGTTCAAACTAGCACCTACAATGTCATTAGCAAGTTCAAACTAGCACCCACAATGTCATTAGCAAGTTCAAACTAGCACCCACAATGTAATTAGCAAGTTCAAACTAGCACCTACAATGTCATTAGCAAGTTCAAACTAGCCCCCACAAATGTCATTAGCAAGTTCAAACTAGCACCCACAAATGTCATTAGCAAATTCAAACTAGAACCCAGGCCATTAGCAAGTTCAAACTAGCATACCCACTTTCATTAGCAAGTTCAAACTAGCATACCCACAATGTCATTAGCAAGTTCAAACTAGCATACCCACAATGTCATTAGCAAGTTCAAACTAGCATGCCCACAATGTCATTAGCAAGTTCAAACTAGCACCCACAACGTCATTAACAAGTTCAAACTAGCACCCACAATGTCATTAACAAGTTCAACTAGCACCCACAATGTCATTAACAAGTTCAAACTAGCACCCACAATGTCATTAACAAGTTCAACTAGCACCCACAATGTCATTAACAAGTTCAAACTAGCACCCACAATGTCATTAACAAGTTCAAACTAGCACCCACAATGTCATTAACAAGTTCAAACTAGCACCCACAATGTCATTAACAAGTTCAAACTAGCACCCACAATGTCATTAACAAGTTCAAACTAGCACCCACAATGTCATTAACAAGTTCAACTAGCACCCACAATGTCATTAACAAGTTCAAACTAGCACCCACAATGTCATTAACAAGTTCAACTAGCACCCACAATGTCATTAACAAGTTCAAACTAGCACCCACAATGTCATTAACAAGTTCAAACTAGCACCCACAATGTCATTAACAAGTTCAACTAGCACCACGTCATTAACAAGGTGTTTACCTTCCTTCGATAACATTATTCAGGTGAGTCAAACTAATTTGTCCCATACTTCCGCTTGGCCGATTTCATGGTTCTGAGAAATTACCTGGGTGGGAAAAATTGGGATGACTTGACTATGGGTCAGGTTGGTGGTGTTGGTTGCCAATATGACGTTTTTCAGAGCATAGTTCTAGCTGCCTAGACAACTTTTGCTCCGAGTAGGGAAATTAGATCTAACAAAAATGATCCCAGATGAACAATAGGTTAAAACATCTCATTGGTCAAAAGAGAGGCATACATAGGCGTATCAAAAGAGGGAATGGGCAGTTAAGAAATCAGTATATTTAGTTAAAGTGAGAAATAAAAAATAAAGAATAAAGAAAAGCCAAAAAGGATTATGATGATAAGGTTGCAAGGGATTTGAAGACTAACCCAAAAGGGTTCTTTCAGGTATACAGAAGTAAGATTAGGGACGAGATAGGCCCACTTAAGAGTAACTCTGGTCAAATCACTGACAGTGATAAGGATATATGTGAAATTTTCAGTACTTACTTCCTCTCAGTTTTTACCCAGGAAGATGCTAGCGAAATTCTAGAAATAATAAATTAAGTAGAACAGGACGATAATAAACTATGCACGATTGTGGTAACTAGTGACATGGTCCTCAGACAAATAGACAAATTAAAACCTAACAAATCCACAGGTCCTGATGAATTGTTTGCAAGAGTTTTAAAGAAATGTAAAGAGGAACTTACCAAACCTTTGGCTAATCTTTTCAACATATCACTACAAACTGGCATAGTGCAAGATAAGTGGAAAATGGCAAATGTAATACCTCTTTACAAAGCATGTGACAGGTCCTTAGCTTTGACCTATAGACCAATAAGCCTTACCTCCACAGTGGGAAAATTTATGGAATCAATAATTGTCGAAGCAATTCGTAGCCATCTTGAAAGGCATAAATTGATTAATGAATCTCAGCACAGTTTTACAAAAGGGTGCTCCTGTCTTACGAATTTACTAACTTTCTTCACTAAGGTATTTGAGGAGGTAGATCATGGTATAGAATATAATACTGTGTCTATGGACTTCAGTAAGGCTTTCAATAGAGTTCCACATCAGAGGCTATTGAGGAAACTTAAGGCACACGGAATAGGAGGAGAATTTTTTCCTGGGTAGAGGCATGGTTGACAAATAAGCAGCAGAGAGTTTGCATAAATGGAGAGAAATCAGAATGGGGGCACGTCATAAGCGGTGTTCCACAGGGGTCAGTGTTGGGCCCCTTGTTGTTCACAATCTACATAAACGACAGATAAGGGAATAAATAGCGACATTAGCAAATTGGCTGATGACGCCAAAACAGGCCGTCCAATTCATTCTAATGAAGACATTAGAGCACTCCAGGATGATTTGAATAGACTGATGCAGTGGTCGGAGAAGTGGCAGATGCAGTTCAATATAGACAAATGCAAAGTTCTAAATGTTGGGTCAGGTCAATAAGCATGCCACTTATAAACTGAATAGTGTAGATCTTAATACTACTGTTTGCGAAAAGGATTTAGGAGTTCTGGTTAGCAGTAATCTGAAACCAAGACAACAGTGCATAAGTGTTCGCAAAAAAACTAACAGAATCCTTGGCTTCATATCAAGAAGTATAAATAATAGAAGTCCTCAGGTTGTTCAACTCTATATATCCTTGGTTAGGCCTCATTTAGATTATGCTGCATAGTTCTGGTCACCGTATTATAGAATTGATATAAATGCACTGGAAAACGTACAAAGGAGGATGACAAAGTTGATCCCATGTGTCGGAAATCTCTATGAGGATAGACTGAGGGCTCTGAACCTGCACTCTCAAGAAAGGCGTAGAATTAGGGGGGATATGATTGAGGTGTATAAATGGAAAACAGGAATAAATAAAGGGGATGTAAATAGCGTGCTAAAAATATCTAACCTAGACAGGACCCGCAGCAATGGTTTTAAGCTGGAAAAATTCTGATTCAGGAAGGATATAGGAAAGCACTGGTTTGGTAATAGAGTTGTGGATGAGTGGAACAAACTCCCGAGTACCGTCATAGAAGCTAAGACGTTGTGTAGTTTTAAAAATAGGTTAGATAAATACAAGAGTGGGTGTGGGTGGGTGTGAGTTGGACCTGACTAGCTGGTGCTACTGGGCCAGAAGCCGTGCTCCTTCCTTAACTGGAGGTGACCTGACTGGGTGTGCCATTGGTCTAAGCCGGGGGTTGACATGGACTTCCCCCGCATGGGCCAGTAGGCCTGCTGCAGTGTTCCTTCTTTCTTCTTGTAATAGTATTTAGCTGGTAAAACTAACATCCATTATATTCAGCTTCTTACACTGGCTCTAGTATCATAAATCAGCTGGTGAAACTATCATCCAGCTGGTAAAATTGTAATCTCTATCAATCAGCTGGTGAATTTATCAGTATCTCACAACTATTTGTAATAGTCAATGGCCAAATAGTTACTCAATACAATAGTAAGTGAGACTAGCGTCCATACACATCATAGAATAGTCTTTCTTGTGTCAACACGTACGATTCGTGAATATCTCGGGGTAAACGTAAACGAAACAATGTTATAGAAAGAGCGTGTCGCCCTTTGTAAAGTTTTATCGGGTCGTGTCTTGATGTTGCTCTACACGGCGCGAGACGCAGTCATGTCACCAGACATGATATCGCCTGTATATATGTCAGCATTGTCACCACCACCTTATAATATCATCATTTGCCACCACTTGTCACCACTACCACCATCTATCACCACCACCACAACCACTTGCCACCACACTCATCACTTGTCACCACTATCACCACTTGTCACGACTACCACCACTTGGCACCACCATCACCACTTGTCACCACTATCACCTTTAAAATTTGCACATTAACGCTACATTTCCCCTCAGAGTACATATACAGAAGTGTGTATGTGTATATACAAAGGTGCATATGTGTACATACACAGGCATGTGTATATACGCTAATAAATGTATTGTATCTCTCAACGTACACATATAAAGACGTACATCTGAGTAAATATATACAAAGATGTGTTTCTCAGGGTATATACAATATACACGGAGGTTTCTCACTCAGTATATATACACAGATATATATAGTGTATAAAGGTACAATACAGTTAAAGTTATATATATATATATATATATATATATATATATATATATATATATATATATAATATATATATATATATATATATATATTATGCACCCACGTACACATATATACTAAGTATAATTAGAAGTGTATCTCTCAATGTAAATACACAGAGACATAACTGCTAGTGTATATTCACTATTTTATGTATATACACCGAGTGTGTATTTGTATAAATATCTAGAGGTGTATATATCTC